AATGTACTCGAGAAACAGAGAATCTCTTTCTTTTTCCCTGCAGCCTCGGGCTGAAATCTTACACGCCACTAATTGCTACTATTGTCTCTGATGGGGAAAGAGCGAAGCACTGCTACCAACCAGCAATCACCCTCCTCTCCCTCGCTAAATCTTATCCCGCTCGTCCATCTACCACCCCCTTATCTCTCGTCTTGCCAAAAATCTCTTTATTCGTTGCATCACATAGACAGACATCTAACCAGAACCACACCGTGATTCGTCCACTCAAATATAGAACGAGACAGTGAATTATTTCCTTTCGTTTCTGTCTCCCCCTCTTTCCCCCTCCTCTTTAAGTTTGTCCCATTTAGTCTCCCTCTTATTTCAATTCTACCTTCGAAACTAAAAAGTTTCACATGTGCCATTGTTCAAATTTTGGATTGTTCTTCGTGATTGAAATTTTATCGAGATCTGTGTTACACATGTTGCTCTTTTGTTACGAAATGATGTAAGAATCGATTCTTTTTTTTTTTTGTAATATAATGATTTTAGAAAGTAAATAAATATTTATTTTCTAATAAACAATTATTTATAAATATATTTATTTGTAAATTAATGAAAAGAAAGGTAATAGGTTTTCATGTCTGATTATAGAGAGACTCGTTCCACTTAAAATGTTTTACACGTAAAATATTTTATTATCTTCCGAATAATATAGAATTAATTTTTTCGAGTGAGGTAGCTAATTTACTCGCAGAAATAATAATTCTGAATTTCATATCATTGTTACTCATTTCTCTTTGTTCCTTTTTTCTTAATATAATACAACCTCTGTTCCTTGTTTTTTCGTCTTTTTTTTTTAAAGAATTGCCCGGACAATTGTTTTATTTTCTTCTTATATTCTTTCTTCTCAATTGTAATTCTTTATATACAATTTTAAACTCCATATAAATTAACAAATTCGTTTCAAGAATGAACAACAACATTTTACATATCAGATAGATAATCTTATATATAATAACGATGAAGGTAATGATGACAAAAAATAAAATAAATTAACCCGAATACGAAAATCATCGAAAATCAAAAAACACGATAATAAAAAGATAAAAATGGAAGAAGAAAGATACGAACAGGACAATAATTCTCTAAAATATGTTTGTGAAAATATGGTATTTAGAAATATCGTTGATGTATCGTGTGGTTTGCTGGTTAGATCATGTGTATCTATAGCACTTGAAAAGCGGATTACTTCTTCGAAGGGGAAACCATCCGGATTGCTGATGGCTCGTTGTACGGCCGTCGAAGTATCTGAGCAAAGTTCACCGACTCCGCTGGCTTGGCCTATTTTTTCAGACACATGCCAGGCTGCACTTTCTTCCTTCCTTTCTCTCACCTTCTCCTAACTTCTCCCTTTTTAGCCCTTCTTCACCACCCCCATTTTTTTGAAAGAAGTTGAGTGCATGACTACAACTAAACTAAGCCACACATGTTTTGTGTCAAAATGTCTGAGATAAAAAGAAGACACTATACGCATCTCTTTCCCAATAGAAATAAAAATATAGAATCTTCGTTGCACGTGATTCAAGAAAATGATATCTTCACTTCTTCTTCATGATAGGTTAAAAAATTATGATGAACGGTACGAAGAATCATTCATGATTGGGAAAATAATATGAAAATATTGGGAAAATAAATTGTATTAAGAAGATTGTACGAAATTAAATTACTTGCAAATGGTAAAAAGATTGAATTTTGAACCTTGAATCTTGAATCTTTGATTATATCAAGTACTGAATTAAATCTTACTAAAAATAGCTATATTTATAACAAATTTGGACTAAAGTTAAATTTGGACTAAAAGTTATTCAATTTTGACTTAATCTTCATATCATTAATAATCCTCGTCACATAAAATACAAATTATACATTAAAATGAAATAATCTAAAATTAAAATTAAATTAATAATTAATATAATCCAATTTGTTACGAATCATTTACATAACGAAATTTCATAAATCTAATTTATCCACGTCCATCTAAATAACGTATCAATAAATAATTTGAATGAAAATTCACACGAAAGAATAAATCGTTCGTGGTTGTATATACTTCTAAAGAATCGCATCTTGAACCGTCTATTCTTCTCGAGGCAGACTACCTATACAAGGGCATTCGTCTAAGGGTTCTCCAGCCTTCTTTGGTCTATCTACCATGTACTTGTACACCTATGCATATGTATGGCCTCTACATAACGCATATATTTCGCAACATTGTCTGTTCGAGCGGAATCGTCGCATATATAAACTTTGGATCGGTATAAACGTGACGAAGGAAAGTGAATACACATTCGTATAAAGGCAGTCACGTCGAAAGACGAGATTAGGGATCCTCCTTACGAGACATAAGGGAGGGATGAATCCGGCAATAAATGGTAAGGACTCTAATTTTGCGGTGGAGTTTCTTACGAATCTTGAGAATCCTTTCATGTCGTCGGCAAAGGCGAACACGAATCGCCAGGAAACTTTTCGAGGGGGAGATTTTATCGCTCACGGTGCCGCCTCGTTAACTTCTATCGACATTTCCGGTTTCTATCTGCTTTCCGTTTCTCCGCTCTGAACTCTACGAGCTCGCTATTTATACGTTACGTCGTTGGAAAGCTCGATATCGCTTTAACCACGACCGTGAAAGAAAGATCGAGAGATCGAATTGTTGATAGGGATAAGAGAAATTTCTTTTCTCTCCTTTTTTCCTTTCTTTTTTTTTTTTTTTTTTTTTTCATAAATGAAAACGATTTGAATAAATTCGATGTTATAAGCGTGTGTACAATAATTACTACGCGTAATTATTATATTCATGAGAAAATCTTTATGGATACTTTTTTAAACGTGCGAATAAACGTGCATACAATATAAGTACGTATAAAGATAGTTAATCCATTAGTAATCTTGGTTCTGTAAGTATAATCGGATCATGCTCTTCAAGGATTTATTCCGTGTGTTTCAGGTTCGGCGGACTGATTGGATTTGCGGTCGGGCCTGGATTTGGTATTAAGAAGGATGGGTTGGACACTTACCGTTCTTGGGGTGGCTTTAGCTATCGTCATTGTGGCAGGCACTGCCCTTGCTCTGTGCAGAAGGTAATTGAAACCACGATTTCAACAAACCATTGACAGCTCGTGTCATCATTTCTTTATATAACATCCTTTTCCTGTTCCAAATCGCTCCTGCATTCGACTTGTTCGTGTCAAAAATATACCCTCAACCTCGACCTAGAAATCTTGAAAATATCGTGAAAAATTAATTATCCATTATTATATAAAATATATGTTAGTAATTTGAGATTTATTTATTATATAATTGAATGCAATATTTTCTTCTTGTCAACTTCAAACGCGATTCACTATAATATAGAAATATCATAATGGATACTCATTATCACTGAAGAATCTTTTTTTATATAATGAATTCAAGAAGAATTGTTTCGATATTTTCTCGCACACAACAGGTATATGTATTCGTGAAAATTGCAACACGTGCAACAGGTTAAAATCATTCAGCAATAAATTGTATTAAAGACTTTTTCCATCCTTTTCCATAGCCGAATTTATTCTTCTTTGAGATTTTATCCCTTTCGTCCAGGGATGGAGAAATATTAAACGTAGCTGCAAGCATTTACTATCATCGTTTCGAATTCATTGAAGCATTATAAGAACAACGGTGGAAATCTGAGAAATCGCAATAACAACTTGATATTCCAGCGTTCGAGTTTTCCAGTCCGATTTTTCTTGAGAAAAGCACGTAGCTGCCATGCAATTTCCAACTCATAATCTGGCATCTTCACAAATATATTGTATCGATTCGAGAACTCGATATTCTTGATATTCTTGATAAAATAAAAAAATTCAACTGGGATATTTCCAGTTAATAATATAATAAAATAGAATATGAAAGTTTAAGCAAGAAGAGAATTCAAAGCCACTTTCGCGCGAGTTAAACGAGTGTTGCACAGGAATGCAGCGAAATTTTATTTTACCTTTAATACCGCGTTTACTAAAATTGATTTTCTCGCTGACCCCCTTTGATGAGCGCACATCTCTATTCACTTAATAATAGCATATTCCCACGTGCTTGCGAGTGTGCTATTAGTCAGCCATCGGTCGAACGTTACATACGACCAAACACTTTTTTCTACTGCTATATAGGACACGAAAGAAAGGGAGGAAAAAAGGAATATTTCAATGGGTTCGTTTCTATTATACACGTAGAATCCCATATATCGTCGATTAACCAAAGAAATCAATAATACCGTGTGGTTGTTAAAAATATTGATGTTAAACATCAATATTTTCAATAGTCGAACATCGTGACCCAATAATCTAATTCTCACACCACCATCCGAAAAGTTTCTCCATGAGAACACGATTATCGACCTCAATACCCGCCTATTAAACGTAGCCAAATTTCAGTTATAACTCGTAAATATCGACGTAAAAGACTTACCAATAATTATTTGCAATATCCTATATCTAGATATTGCATTGGCTGGCAATGGGGTACTAGAAACATTTGGAATGTCTGCGAGGAGTGGCGGCAAAGGTTATCCTGGTTATGGGCACCGCGAGAAGAAAAGGTACACCAAAAGAGGGAGAGACGAAAAATAAAAATAACGAACGATCTTTCCATTCATATTACAACGTATAAAATATTCGTCGTTATTTAACGAATTTTCCAGGTCGGTTTAGTCAAAGCACAACATCCAACAGCTCAAACAATCCCCGGTTTATATCGACAACCTGGAAACGCGTCTCAACATCTGCTTCACAGTGACAGCGACCTCAGGCTAGATGCACAAGGAGCTTTTACCAGGTACAAAAACTGGTTGAGCATTATGCTTGCATAATTCATTTCTAATAAACCCAAGATCATGATTAAGTTTAACGAAATATTAATTTCTTCGACGAGAAGATAACAACATGGCAGATAATAAATCTGATCAAGCGAACGATGAAAAATATTAATGCTATTTTTTTAATTACGATAAAATGAAGTGTCAAAGTCATCGAACTAGTATTGGTAATTCTCACATATGTGCACAATCGAGCAATAACTGAACAATATCAATGACAATAACTTTTCCGGAACTTAGAATAATTAGATGAAATCATTAATAATTCAAATAATTACTAGAAAAGAAATTCCAATGATTCCAATGAATTATTATTTCCTATATTTATCATCCCTAATAAAGAATACGATCTTTAACCAACATGGAATAAATCTCGACAAAACAAACCCTTAAGTCAAGAGCAAATCAATTGAGCCATTTATAAAAAAAAAAAATTATGCGATCTTTTTTCAGTAAGCACGCGACGTCTAAGCACTTGGTCGACCGATCGATATTTAATATTTAATATTAAGACAAAGAGTTAAAACCGCGCGCACTATAAAATGTAAAATCAGATTCAAATTTCAAAGTAGAAAGAACAAAGTAACAGGGACAGGGAGGGAGGAGGAGGGAAGAGGATTGTCCCGTTTCAAAAGGTAAAACTCATAACATTTGCAGATTCGAACCAGTAGACAGAGATCTCCATCCGCCTCTGGGCACAACAACCGGTAGCACAATACCACCGCAGCCTTTGAGACCGGCACCTCAACCAAGGCCAACCGCTCGTCCAAGGCCGTCTCCACTTCAAACCTCGAGCACCGTAGACCAGCTGAGAATGCAAGAGGCTGGTCCGGTTCCTCTAACTCCACCACCATCGTTACAGAGGGCTCCAGTTCCCTCGAGATCGTCCGGCTCGTCGGTCTTTCTTTTCCAGAACGAGCCCATCAAGAATTACGGTCTGCATAAAACATCAAACGATCATGGTTCGTTCATATTCGATGGCGAGGCAACGAAGACCGTGGCGGAGAATATTCAAATGGCGTCGTACGGGTCGCAGAATCATATAGACTCGAGGCTGAGATACGAGCTCGGTGAGGAACGAAGGAAAGAGAATAGATGCAATCCTTACAGGCAATTCGACGGTGGCATCGAGTCGACCAGGATCAGATACGGTGTACACGGCGTACCTATAGCTACCCTCGACGGTAAAGGGGACGAGGATAGCAACACGAGTTACGGAAGCTACGACATCGTTCAAAGGAGTCACATGATACGGCAACATATCAGGAATGATTCGAGGGGCTCGCCGAGCAGTTTCGGTATGACGAATTCTTCGAATGCCGCAAGCCAGACTATCATGGAATCGATATACGGATCCGAGGAGCTGTCTAAGATGCTTCAGAGCACTCAGAGTCTTGGGAACGACCTCGATCATAAGAGCAACGAGATGCAAAGCATCGAGATGACGCCCTTTAGAAGTTCCAGCCTTCAGGACAACATAGGCCCGTCCTACTTGTTCCGCGAGTCTCAAGGGTTACAGAAAGTCTCCCAATACATTCAAAGTTTGCCCGATCTTCCAATATACGATTCGATTAACGAGCTGGGACTCCACCAAGATCAGGATCGCGTGCTCTACGACGACACAATTCAGGAATCGATCAACGCATTGAAGGTCAACAGCGAGGCCGTATCCAGCCCGATACCACCACCGCCACCCGCGCCGCCCGATCCACCGAAAGACGTGCCAAAAAAGAACGGGCAGACAACTGGCGAAAGAATATTTAACGCCCTTAGATTGGTCACTTCGCAGAGTTATATCGACGCCTCGGAATTTTACAAGTATGTTTTTCATCGAAGGGAAGAAATTTTTCAAGGAATCGTTTTTCAAAAAATTCACAACATTTCTTTTCTATTCACGTAGCTCGGTCGTGTCTTCGGCACAACAGGTTCAACGTTTCACCTTCCAATCGAGATCCCCATCGTCGTTGGTCGAGGAGGACACCGGTGGCCAGTTGCAGGATGAAGTTCAAGATATTTATGCGGAGAACGATTCTGACGTGATAGGTCCTGACGACTCTAGACGTAGCTCCGATCTTTACAGTCCCGAACTTAATTTAGAAGCACATAGAACTGCACAAGAGGTATATAATTCTTTGATTTAAAAGAATTATTTTAGCCTATTTTATTCTAATTATTCTATTATTTTGATAGGTGTACAATAGTTTACAAGATCCACCATCATCCCCATTGTTAGTTAAAGATCACAATCAAGAGATTTACACATATATGACTGATCCTAGCTTTACGAGAACCTCTGAGGTACGATACCGATTTTGAATTTAAATTTTAATTCGATGATTCGATAATTTATTTAATAAGTTATTCTATACGTATTTATTTTCAGGATATTTTAAATAGCATTGAGCAAAGGAGAAAAAGTATGGAAAGATTAAACGGTATTCATGAACTTAACGAACTCGATGACGCTGATACATTAAGGTAAATTTAACCATTAACGATAATTCCATTGCTTTATATTTATTAAAAAACAAAGAAAAAATAAATTAATTCAGTATCCAATTTGTCTCACAGAAAGCGAAACGACTTCTACGTTGCAGTAGAAGAAGTACAATTGAAACGAAAATTCTCTCAGGTATGACAACTTAATCTTTTCCACTCGATTGGCATTTATTATAATTAGGTATACCGTAATATTTAATTCCTTCAAATATAAATACGATTCGCAGAGTTTTATCACAAACTATACCATGAACGATTACAATGAGGTCAACCCTGGAAGTCGTCGTGGACCTCAGGGACCGGATCCAGAGCCACCGCCGGATGAATCGAACCTGAAAAGGGCAATAAGCTGTGAGAGTGTGTGCTCTGATACGAGTGTAGTATTAAACGACCTCGAAGAAGCGCCTGTCGTCGGCCACGTGTGTGTCGGTGTCCAATACGACAGATGGAGTGGCCGAGGTGCTGATAGCGAGGGTGATCTTGCGGTCAGCGTTCTCGAGGCCAGAGATCTTATCGCCCCAGATGGTCAACCTGCTCAAGATACCTTTGCTAGGTTTGAATATTCCGTGAATTTGTATATCAAATATGTAATACAGTTTTGTTCAAAAGTTACTGATCATTTCATAAATAAATAAATTAAAAAATTGATAATTTCAAAAAAATTCAGATGATATAAATTCGCAATGAAATACAAGAACAGTAATTCCAATTTTTGAATCGATAAATGTAATTTAATTAACAAATTCAATTAACAAGTTATTTATTTCTTTTAGAGTTTGTCTGTTACCAAACAGACAGTTACACGTGAAAACAAGACTGTATAGAGGAAGTCCATCGCCTAGTTATCAAGAAAATTTTTTATTCCCTTTAGACGATGGCCCCTCGGGGAGAACTCTTCTTGTCGAAGTATGAAATAAATGAAATAATTAATCTAAATGAATAAAATGTGTAGAAAGTATGATGATAACTCACATATGATATTTTTAAGGTGTTTTCTGATGAGACCAGTATAGGTGGTGGAACATCCCTTATTGGAGAAGCTAGATTACGTCTAGGGCCTGCATCAAGGGCACCGGCAACTACCTGGTTACCACTCATGGGATCAGCTTTACCCACGCCAAGACTTGGAGAATTAATGTTCTCTTTGAGCTACTTGCAAACAGCCGAAAGGCTCACGTTAGTGGTTGTAAAGGCTAGAAATTTACGTGGCGCCAATACCGTGCCTGGTGATTTCTTCGTCAAGGTAATAGAGAAGCTGTTTCGAATAAATTAAAATTGTTACATCTTTCATTGAATAAATAAATTGAAATTATTGCAATTACATATGATCTAACATATGATGATAGATAATATATTTATTATATTTCAAAGGTTTATTTGCTACAACAAGGAAAAAAGATTCACAAGAAAAAGACGTCCGTGAAGAAAGGAGAAGAGAGCCCGATCTTCAACGAGGCAATTATTTTTAACGTGCCCAGTCATATTATGCAGGTTCGAATAATTTTCCTTTATAATGTTTATCAAAGAATAATTATTTATTAAGAGTTTGAAAAATTTCACTGAGATTTTTTTTTTATTTTAATTTTAGAACATACAAATAAGACTAACCGTAGCGGAAGTAAGCAATGACCAGGGAGTAAATTCGAAACCATATTCTGTCGGGCACATTATCGTAGGACCCACATCAGCAGGAAGAGCATTTGTTCATTGGAGACAAATGTTGGCTGCTCAGAGGCGCCCTGTCGCTATGTGGCATCCCCTGAGAAAATGAAAAAAATATAAAGGATGTTAGTGACAATGTAGAAATGAAAATTTGTACAGATTTAAAGTATAATTGGAGAACGGTAGAATTACATAAATATAATTTTATGGTACATTGATATTGTTTGTGGTTTTAAATCATTTATTCTTAGAAGAGATATTATTTTTTTAAATTTTTATTTTTATTTATAATAAATTACATTGTGTTTGATCATATAAGTAAATCTTAAAATTGAAAAATTTAAAGATCATTTTGAATTATTCAAAATATTAATATCGTTCAGATAAATTCATTTAAATTTTTGTGAAGTTAAGTTTTTTCAAAGTAAATGATTTAAAACTAAAACAATTTTTAGAATAACTTAATAATACGCGATAATATCATTAATAATCTATTTTCATCAATGAAAAAAAAGAAGGAGAAAACAAAATTTTGTTATTACGTTCGTCGAATTTAAGGAAAAAAAATTATTGTATACAATTCGTTGAAATCATTGTAAATTTGCGAATTACAGGGTGCTGAAACATTTAAGGCCTCATATAGGAAAGATTTTTTATTCACATTAAGATTACTTAACGTATTAGTAACGTTATTAAGGATTTATACTAAATGTTCACCATTATCTATTTAACCGTTCTCCTCTATACTCCAACGAGGAAGTATAAACCATAAACGTGTGATATATTGCAAGTAGAATGATGATAATTCAAAAAAATCTACGATTCACCGTTTTCGATTTGATGATGTAAAATCTTAATGTCAAACTCGTATCCTATTGTACATGTACTAAATGGATGTACATCGTTCAACATAATTGTTTCATCTAATGATAAAGTTCAAAAATGACGGCTCCGTGATCCTGTTATAATTTTATTCAATGAATTATATCATGAAGTTGTCGTTAAAACGAAAGAAGATTATTTATTGTACAAAACAAGAGGATCGATCGGAAGAAAACACGGAGCTAGTATCAATCATTTCAGACTGATATATCGATATCAAAAGTCATCGTCAGACATACAAAAAATCATCGTAAATTTTAAATGGATCCATATTGTTGTTCACATCAATTTCATACATTGTTGTGTGTCCCTTCACGAGGAAGGTTCGAACAAATTTTGTGACGAGATCACAAAGTTCTTTCTCTAATAAGAGGCTCAAATATTTGTACCCATATTTTATATACGGTGGGCAGACGTTAGAGCTGAAGAAATGTAATGTACAATCACTTTGTCCTTTATTCGTTGTTGAAACGAATTAAATGAATTGCACATAAAATGATGCAAAAAGAAGAAAGAAATCAAGCATAATGACATTGTTGATACGTGTTCTTTATTTTTCGATTTCTTTTTCTTTGAAGAATAGAATAGAAAGAATAGAATGTATAAGTAGATAAATTTTAGACAAGCTTAATCGAACCTTCCTTACGTGTATAAAGAAAATTCCATCAAAACCTCCTGTGTGAATCACGTTGATGTCAGTTAAAATGTATTTCGTTTTTTCGAAAGAAAAGCTCGCTTTTTCCACGTCGGACAATCATTGTCTGCTTTAAGGCCAGAATTATCTATCAATTATATACAAATACTTTTAAAATTTCTCGTCGTTGATTTTTTTATAATTTTCATTTTCTTTATTCTGGCATATAAATACTGGAATATAATCTTGTTTAATCATTATCTTTGTTTAACAACTGACTATATACAATTACAGAAGAATAAAAAAATGGGAAAAAAGCGACAAAGAAAAAATAGTCGAGAAATGTTTCGACAATTCGTCGCGATTAAACGATTCATTGCGACGATAAAAGCCCTAAGGTTCAGGGTTTTATTCGAGTGTAAATGTTGTTGTTCTCAATGAACTGTTAATGTTTGTACAGAGTTTATTAACGACGTACTCGACGTGCAGAGCATTCTCTTCGAAACATGGACGATTGACTTCGATTCTTAATTATTCTTTTTCTCTCCCCTAATGATCGATGATCGATCTTTCCACTTTTCTTCTTCCTTTTCTCCTCTTTCTTCTTTTTCTTCTTGTCATTTCTCGTCACTCGACTTATTCATTTCTTCTCGTTATTTCATTTCAACGACAACAATCCTCGATTTCTTCTTTTCCTTCATTTTTTCTTCTCCTTCTTCGTGATCGTATTTGGCACACAGCCGAATTACACGATTCTCAAACGAAAGCAGAATCAAATGAAAATCTGCTGCGGGTTGTTTGTACGTATACTGTACAATTGAACAATGAAAGAATGCTTGCGACTTGATCCTACAAAATTTACCCATTACGATTCCAATTGACGTTCGAGGTTACAATAATATTCGATTATTCCTAATATAATTGAACACATGTTGCCATTTGGTCGGAACTACATTTTATTATTTTAAAATTATTCCAAGAAAAATGATAAAATTCAAAAAGAACGTAAGAATGTAAATGATAAAATTCAAAAGAAAGTAAGAAACTAGCGAAATAATATTTTATTATATAAAGATAGTTTTTTCTAGTAGATATAATCTTTCAAAAATTGTGTAAAGATTAATTTATAATTAACGACATATTTGTAGTTCGGACGGAAATGGAAAACCTCGCAATATTTATAATTATGGGATCGTTAGCGCAAATCGAACGAATTAGATAGCCTTTCGGACCTCATAGCCTATTCTATACCTATAAATTTTGTACCTCTTCGTACACAATAAAATTTAACAAAACTAATCCTTCATATACACGTACACATTATGCATACACCACGTGTATATATACATCTCTATATATATATATATATATATATATTATAATTACATTGTGAGAAAATTTTACACTCTATATTATTATACATTTTTGTCATAAATTGTCGACTATTTGAATCCATACTTATGAACTTATTCAGGTTTTTTCTATCGCCAACTTACTATGGGACTAATATCGCTGAACTCTCATTAAACCCCATAAATATATTTGTAAATTATCCATTGTGGACGATATGTATCTCTGCATCGTTTTGTACAAAGTGATTAACGAGAATGATTGCGATTAATTATTTATTGCACATTGATAAATTTGAATATTTTTTTAATACAGCGATATCTTCATCGATGAAATAATTTATATAAGTTATATATGTATATTGGAATTGAACATCTTCTTTTAACAATCTGCGACTTATATATTTAATATTTTTTTATTTTTTTAAATTTTCCAGAAAAAGAATTAATCATGGATATTTTATTGATCCGATCGACGAATCAATCAACTGCAAAAAGAAGAATCTTCGATTATAATCCAATAATTAAATCATAACGATGTATCTTCTCTTAATATAAGTCATAGATCGTTGTTAATAAAAAATAAAAAAAAAAGATTTCTTTATTGTCATTCATGATGCATAATTAATATCAAAATCAATTTGATTAATCGAATCATCATCGTATTCCACTTTGTACTTACGAAACCGTACGTAGTACGTATGTATAATCTGTATACGTGTAAGTCAAATTATCATTCAAAACACTGTTGTATATCAGCACAAAATTAATCTTTTATTCTTAATACCAACAATGGCGTACACGCGCGCGCACACACGCGTAAGTGAAATATACTTCACTATATGTTTGTCTACGACCGTGTACGCATGTGTGAATACATATTTACTAAGTTTTACTGTTAAACTGGAATAAATTTAAAAAACGAATAGCGCAGAACAATGAGACAGGGAAAGAAAAATATTGAAGACGTTCAATAGCTTGCTTCTCGTTTATCAGAATTTAGTTTTGTCAGGGACTAGTTATAGACAAAATTAGCAGAAACATGGGGAAAAAAGAAAAGAAATAGAATGTGCGAAAGAGAATGAGAGAATAAGAGAGGGAGAGAAAGAGATACGTGAGACTGAGGAGAGAATGAAAGAGTGAAAATGTAAAAAAAAAAAAAATAAGAGAAACGCACAGAACATGAGAAAAAAATAGCGCGAAAGATAGATAAGAACGATATCGAAAAGTCAGGGAAAAAAGGAAAAAAGAATGATGATGACAATAATAATGCCAATGCGATTCGTACCACAAATGATAAAAAAAGCAATGCACCGATACGCGTATAAAATATGTTTATTTTACATTTTAATTATTCATATATATATATATATACATACATTTCATTTATTATATAAATTATAAATTTATTTATTATAAACGTATTATAAACGTATTTATTATAAACGTTTATTATTATATTATATTATATTATTTATATTATATTATATATATATATATATATTATATTATATTATTTAATTATTTGTTATAAATTTAA